TTGGACCAGTTCCAACAGTGCTCCAAAAACAGCAATCTAGGGTCTTTCTGGGGCTCCAGGGGATGCAGAGACCTCTAAGGTCCTTTGGCAGTGACCTTCTTTTAACATTAGGGGAGACTGTGCCAGCAGGGATAGAAAGACCCCTGAGAGGGCAGGGGTTGGGGGAGTCTCTGTCTCCACTTGGAAGCAGTTGCAGTAAGTCCTGTCTGCCTTTGCCTTCTGTGCCTCTAAAGCAAGCAGGGAGCTTACAAAGCCTAGGGTTCATGTCAGTACAAAGGCAAGAAAGGGGTCTTTTGGGGCTCATTTTTAAGATTTAGGCCTTTTTTAGGTTTCCCTGCCCTGGACTGTGGGACAGGATTCTGAGTACCTGTGCCTATTCGTCTGAACACAGTGACTCTAGTAGTGCTGCTATGATGTCTATTGGACGTGTTTTCATCTCACGACCCCCGGGCTGTTCCATGCAGACGCAGGGCCTGTGCCGTCCAGGGAGGAGGACGTGCTGCTTCGTCCTGTCTGCTGCTGCAGATGATCTGTGATCCCCCTTTAAAGAGCCCAGTGGGCTGAGGAATGGGGAAATCTGGGTAGGTTACCTTTCCCAAGGTTAGTTCTCACTTGCTGCTTGGAGCAGAGGGGGTGACATTATCTTGCCTCTTCTGATGACAGTGGTTGCTGTAGCAACACCATTAAAAATAAAGGAGACAGAAGAGTAAGAAGCACAGCTAGAGAAGGGGCAGGGTGAGTGGGACAGTGTAATAGGGTACCTATTTGCCAATAGTGGCAACAGGGAAACAACATCGAAGTTGTTACTGCTTTGACTGTTTATAGGTGCTTTGCCAAGGCAATACTAACAAACTATCCTTCTGAGGCAAGGGATAGATTTACAGAATCATTTTTATGATACAAAGGTGGATGTAAGAACTCAATCAAGGAGAGATGATTTATTTGCTCCCGAGACTAATCCACTCCCTGTGGTCTGTGTCTCAGGGTTCTTCCAAGGGGAATGTGAACATCTATGGAGGTGCTGTACTGGTGGACCCCTCCTGTCCACCCTGACCTAGGAGGGTTCCAGGGCTACAGACGTGGGTTTCTGTCCAGTCACACTATTGTTGACCCTTTACCAGAGGTTTAGAACCACTGTCAGCATTTTGGGGGCTAGACATTGGGAAGACAGGGAGATTGTGATTTCCAGGGTTGGTTTAAAGTAAAAAGAGATCAGTTATGAAGCTCCTGTGGTCACAAAATACGCCTCAAGGGCCCTTAGAGCAACCCCAGGTGTTCAGTTCCACTTAGTGGAGATATGTCCTGTGGCAGCTTTATGCTGTGACTCCAGGAACTTGACCTAGTCTTATATTCAACCCAGAGTTACATTACTTTAAAATAATAACTATCTATTTCAATATGTACCAGGTGTTTTATGTGCATTCTCTCTAGTTTTTTTCACCCTTCAAGATAGATATTGCCTCAGATGAGAGGTCTGAGCACAGCAAGGCTAAGCGATTTACCCAGGGTCGTACAGCTGGGAGTGGCAGAGCTGGGATTTGAACAGACAGTCAATGTGGAGCCAGGATATGAACCCATATCTGTTTGACTCCACCCAATTTACCATATTGCGTCTCCCAGGAATTTGAAGCTTGAGAAAATTTTAATTCATATAAACAAACATCTATTGAGTACCTACTATGTGCAATATATAGGTTGCAGTTACTACAAGTTATACACAAATAAATGGGGAAATGGGGACTTTGCTTTCAAGGAGATGGAATCTGGTGGGGTGGGGAGGGTGGGGAAAGGGAGGTAGACAAATCCACAGTGAGGGTAATGCAGGTCATGTGGAACACGCTTTTAGAGGAGTTCTGCCCCTTCATCCCCTTTTTTCAGACACATGCGCTGAAGTGAGGAAAAGCAGTAACTTGGCTTCTGAGACCCTTTTCACAGTCTCTGAACTAGCCTTGTAATGGAGCCCCTCGGCTGAATGAAAACAAATGTGTTTCTGCCTGGCTGGCGTGGCTCAGTGGTTGAGCATCAACCCGTGAACCAGGAGGTCACAGTTCATTCCTGGTCAGGGCACATGCCCAGGTTTTGGGCTCAATCCCCAGTAGGGGTGTGCAGGAGGCAGCTGATCAATGTTTCTCATTATTGATGTTTCTGTTTCTCTCGCCCTCTCCCTTCCTGTCTCTGAAATCAATAAAAACATATTAAGAAAAAAAACAAATGGGTTTCAGATGACGAGGCTGCACATAAAGCAGAGCAGGAGCTCCCTTTATCCCATCAACAAATTCTGAGTGCATCTGTGTGGAGGCCTGTACCAGACCCGGGAACACAGCAGTGAGTAAGGTAGACACTGCCCCTACCCTCACTGGGATTCACACGGAAATGTAGGAGGCAGACAACATTCAATATCTAGCCACAAAGTTATTATTTAATTATGTTAGTGATTAATGCTACCAAGGAAAAATACCAGTGCAATAAAACGTACAATAAGGGCGCCAGCCTAATCTGGGGAGCTAAGAAGAGCTTTCTGGAAGAAGGAACCCTGGAGGAGAGCTCTGAAGGATAAACAGAAATTAACTAGATAAAAGGGAAGCAGGGATATGAACCATAAGCCAAGCACCTCAGGTGGGAAGGAACATGGTATGTCCCAGAGATGGAGTAACAGGTAATCAGAGGCTGCATGATGTGAGACACTTTAGAACATATTAAGAATTTTGTTCTTTATCCTAAGAGCACTGGTGACCCCCCCGGGCTATGACTGTGGTCCACGTAAGAAACAGCTGTGTCAGGGTTGAAGCAGTGGGGAGGAGAGAATGGATTGAGACACATTTGGGAGGTAAGTTAAGAACACTGACTATTGAATTGGACAGGCAGTGTGAAGGAGAGAAAGGTGTCAAGAACAATTTGTAGGTTTCTGGCTTGTACAACTGAATGAGGTAGAGAATACTCGTAGAGGGTTTGGTTGGGTAGGTAGGACTGTGAATTAAGTTAGAGACACAGAGTGTGAGGTTTCTGTGAAGCGTCCAGGTGAAGATGTCTTAAAGCTCAGAGGAGAGGTCCGGGTAGAGATACACATTTGAGTCCTTGGTGGCATTCTGTGCTGCTCAGTGTGTATCCGCTAACCACACGAAGCTATCTAACTTATTCATTATGATCAGCTTATTAATTAAAATTAAATAAAATTATAAGCTTTATCCTCAGTGGCACCAGCCACATTTCAAAGTACTCAGTAGCCACTTGTGCCAAGTGGATTCCATATACCAGACAGCACAGATATAAGACATTTCTGTCATTGCAGAAGGTCCTATTGCAGGGGTCTGCCAGCCTTTCCTGGAACGGGACAGATAGTAAATATTTTTGGCTCTGTGAGCCACATGGTCTCTGTTGCAACTATTAAACTCTGCTTTTGTGTGCCAAATCAGCCACAGATAATATGTAAACAGTGGGCCTGGCTGTGTCCCAACAAAACTTTATTAATAAAAATAGGCTGGCAGTGGCTGTAATTAGTTGACCCCTGTTCTATTGGCCGGTGCTGGTATAAATGATAACTAGAGTCATAGGTACAGATAAAATCATCCAGGAGGAGAGAACAGAAGAGAGCCCAGCCCTAAACCTTGACAGCCTCCAATATTAATTGTTGGGCAGAAGAGTCTGGAAAGATAGAAAAACCCAGAAAAGCCATGATGTCCCAGGAGCCAGGGAAAGATGAAATGGATAGGAGTGTTGAATGCTTCAAGGCTCAAGCCCAGTAGAGCTGAAACTTTTGCATTTGCTCAGTATCGTGGAGAGCATTGGTTACCTAAAGGAGTCATTTCTGTGGAGTAGGAGAAGTTAGGTTGAAGTGGGTGGCAGAGTGTGTGGGAGGGAGGTGAGGAAGTAGAGACATAAATCTTCTAAGAAGTCTAGCTATGAAAAGGTGAAAGACATAAGAGGCACTGGCCCCTACCCAAACCCTGAGCGCAGGTACCTTTCCAACTGCTCCTCAGTATCTTTTGGCTTGTAACCTCTCCTTAACCTTTCCCCCCCATTTTAAAAGTTAAGGTGCCACCCAGCCGACGTGGCTCAGCAGTTGAGCATTGACCTGTGATCCAGGACATCGAGGTTCGATTTCTCAGTCAGGGCACATGCCAAGTTGGGGGTGTGTAGGAGGCAACCAGTCAGTGACTTATCATTGATGTTTCTTTCTCTCTCTCTCTCCGTTCCTCTCTCTAAAATCAATAAAGACATACTAAAAAAAAAAAAAAGTTAAGGTACCATATACCTGCAGTAAAATTTACCCTTATTAGTGTATAAGTTCTGTGAGTTTTGACATAGACAGTCATATAACATATATCTGTACAATCAAGATAGAGAGCTGTTCCATCATCTAAAAATTACCCCATTCCCCTTCGTAGTCACTCCTCCCATGGCCTCTGGTCTGCTGTCCCTATACTTTTGTCTTTATGAGAAATGTCATGTAATTGGAATTCTACAATATATATATGACCTTTTGGGTCTGGCTTCTTGCACTGATCATAATACATTTGAGGTTCATCCATTTTGCTGTATCAGTAGTTCGTTCCTCCCTTTAATTGCTCATTAGTATTGCAGTGTAGGGGTGTACCACAATTTGTTTATCCATTTCTCAGTTGAGAGACATTTGGGTAGTTTCCAGTTTTTTGGTGATTGTGAGTAAGCTGTTATAAACATTGACTTACAGGTTTACTTGTAGATGTAAATTTTTTAAAAAAATATATCTTTATTGATTTCAGAGAGAGGAAAGGAGAGGGAGAGAGAGAGATAGAAACATCAATGATGAGAGAGTCATTGATCGAGCCTGCAACCCGGGCATGTGCCCTGACTGGGAATCGAACCCCGATCGCCTGGATCCTAGGTTGACGCTCAACCCTGAGCCATGCCCGGCCGGGCTAGATGTAAATTTTAATTTATCTTGGGTAAATACCTAGGAATAGGATAAATGTATGCTTAAGAAACTGCCAAAGTAGCTATACCATTTTGCATCCCCAGTAATGTATGAGAATTCAAGATACTCCGTGTCTTTGCCAACACATGGTACTGTCATTTTAAAAACTCATTGTAATAGATGAATAATGGTATTTCATTGTGGGTTTATTTTGAGTTTCCCAAATGACTAATGATGTTATACATCTTCTCATGTGCTTATTTTCATCCATGTATCTTTCTTGGTAAAGTGTCCAAATATCTTGCCCATTTTTACAAATTATATTCATTTTATCAAGATTTGAATGTTCTTTATATATTCTGAATACAAGTTCTTTATCAGATGTGTGATTTGCAAATATTTCTTCCAGTCTATATCTTGTCTCTTCATTCTCTTAGCAGTGTCTTTCTAAGAATAATTCTTAATTTTGATAAAGTCCAAGTTATAATTTTTTTCTTTTATGGACAGTGCTTTTGATGTCTACTAAGAAATCTTTGCTTACCCCAACGTTGCAAAGGTTTTCCCCCTGTATTTTCTTTTAAAAGTTTATAGTTTTATATCCATTTGAGTTAATTTTTGTATAGGGTACAAGGTATGGATTGAGGGTTTTTCATTTTGTTTTTTTTTTTTTCATATGGCTATCCAATCATTCCCGCACTATTTGTTGAAAAGATTTCCCCAGCCTTTTAATACTGGGGTTCCTCAAGACTCAACCCTTCTTGCTCTAGTGGCAGTGGTAGTTGGAGAAGGAATTCAGTTATAGGAGGCTTTTTTTTTTTTTTTAAAGAGAGGGAGAGGTTTTATATATGAGAGTGAGGCAGTTGATTGTAAAGATTCTAAAGCTCAGATGGAAAGACAAGACATCACCTGAATGCTGACAATGCCCTGGGAGGAGGTATCGGATAGGGAAAGGGGGTGTTGCTGTGTCCTCTCCCTCTCTGCAGTCTCAAGGCCTGATAAAAACAGACCCTAAGCAAGCAGGCCTCTCCTCTTTCTCCGTTCCCTCTAGAAGAGAGGATTCACAACTTTGAAGTGCAGAGGAAACAGGAGTATACTCTTGGGGAATTGGCAGATACTGCCAAGAGGATGGAACGGAACATTGAGCTCGTTAGGCCCAGAGGTGAGGAGGAAAGGCATACAGGAAGGCAGGCGAGGAAAGAAACTAGGGCCCTCTGGGGAAGGCAAGAGTTGATGGGCCTCACAGTTGCTAATTAGTGTTTGGTGTGTGTTGAGAAGTGAGAAGCATATAGTCAGCAAGGCTAAACTGGACCAAGCTCCGTGCTCACTAGAAACTTGGAATAGCAGGCTTGAATGTAAGCAAGGGAGTCATTTGAAATGGAAACCAGTGGGATGGTCCCACACATGGAATTCTCAGAATCTGATGGGAAAGGGGGATATTGCTGTGTTATCTCCCTCTCTGCTGGCATCTGGCCCTGTGTACACACACAGGCAATGGCTCTCCCCACCGGTCAGCCTGGTGTGTGTCAGGAGGCCCAATGACCAAACATCAAGGTGAAAGCCAGAATCAGGGTGGCTAGCTCAACTGATAGAGCAGGAATGGTCTGGGATTATGCTCCTGTTCCCATGTTCCCAGGAGCTGGTATATGAAGAAAGTGGTGGGGCCTATGATTGATCTATACAGCTGCCTGACTGGGAACAGAAGGAAATCATGACCCCTAGGACTTTCCTTCCAACCTGGGAATTGCTCTGCTGTGTGGGCGAACCCGGCTAGTTAACTCAGCCCCACGTGTGCCCACACATACTCACATGTGCCCACATATACCCAGATGAGCCCACACATGCCCACATGAGCCCACATATACCCATACATGCTTACAGTGCTAACACATGCTCACACATACCCACACATTCCCACGCATTCCCACACATGCTCACAGTGCCCATACATGCCCACACATGCCCACAAATGCCCACACATGCTCACAGTGCCCACATATGCTCACAGTGCCAACACATGTTCACACATGCCCACAAATGCCCACACATGCCCACACATGCTCACAGTGCCAACACATGTTCACACATGCCCACAAATGCCCACACATTCCCACACATGCTCACAGTGCCAACACATGCTCCCAAGTGCCCACACATGCCAACACATACTCCCAAGTGCCCACACATGCTCACAGTGCCCACACATACCCACACATGCTCACAGTGCCCACATGTGTTCACAATGCCTACACATGTTCACAGTGCCCACACATACCCACACATGCTCGCAGTACCAACACATGCCCACACATGCTCGCATTGCCCATACATGCTCACACATGCCCACACATGCTCACAGTGTCAGCACATGCCCACAAATGCCCACACATGCCCATGCTTTGTCTGGGATTGAGAGAGATACCACAATGTTCAAGAGCATGGAGTCTGGAGTCTCACTGTCTTGGTTCAGTCCTGGCTTTGCTACTACTTAGCTGCATGATCTTAAGGCAAGTTAACCTCTTGACCTCAATTTCTTATCTGTAAAATGAGAATAGTAGCAAGACCTATCTTATAGGGCTGTTAAAAGGCTTCAGTGTGTTAATGTTATAGAGTACTTAGGAAGTGGCTGGCACATAGTAAGTATGAGATATGTGATTAATACAATGAGGTAAGGTGGATTTGCTAAACCATTTCATTGCTGTTATTTCTGGTCAGAAGAGCTCAGTATCGAAAGAAGCAGATGAGCACCTGAGAATTCGTAATCCATCTCTGACTAGAACAAGAGGCAGAGACAGAGAGGCTGAGAGAAGCTCACCTGCCACAGCTCTTGTGGGTTAGCGTTGACTCTCTGGAGGTGTGCATTTTTGTAAGAGACACTCTTATAGAACATGCAGTGTCATCCAGAGTGGACCTCCATGCCTCCTTGGTTTACCTGAAGTATGGATTGTCTGATGGCATGCAGGTGGATGTACCAGGGGACCTTGATTCATTAAAAATTGCTGAGCTTCTGGAAAAGAAACAGGAGGGTTGGGGCAGAGACTAGGGACCAGTAAAGGGCTAAGCACTATACAGAAGATGGGAGCTAACTTGTGGTCTAACTGCCACCACTCCCAACCTCAGCGAACAACTAAATCCAGAAATCCAGTGTGGAGAGTGGCTATTTTGAGAACTGGCTGGAGAGGGTGGAGGCAGGAGGGGCAGGAGGTAGAAGCCCCAGTGTAGTGCTTTTCAGCAGAAGGTATGTGGTGGTTTCATGGGGAATTGTGAGTGCTAGGGGTTTTCTTCTCTTTAAAGCTCTCTTTTCTGATCTCCCCAGGGACCTCTTATAAACGTAAACCTAATGGAGCTATGAACTCCTGGGCAGCCAGGCAGTGGCTGAGCCATGTCTCCATTCCAGGGCCAGTGATCTCAGGAGGGACTCAGGAAGGGGACAGCTGGCAGGGCAGAGGGAAAGGGGTGGCTTGTGTGGTTCAGTCCTGACATATTCCTGGTTTGCGGATTCTCAAAGCTGGCTGATACGGGAAGGAAAGTAGAGCTGAAGAGAGGGGAGGTGTTTAGAGTTAGGGTTCATACTTTCTTCCCAAGGGGAGGGGCTGTGGTGAGAGAAAGGAACTGATGGATTAAGGGAGCAGGCTTAGAGTCAGACAGAAGGAAAATGGTTAATGAAAGGATTAGAGTCAGGGGGCTGCTGGCAGTAGAGAAAGTTGGACTTGAAGTCAGAGATCATGGGACTATAGAACTTGCCTCCTTGTCCTCCATGAACTCACTACAACCAGGGTTTTGCTTCTGCCTCCATCGTAACTTTTCTTGTCAGTGTCACCAATGACCTCGAGTAGCAAAACGCAAGGGTCAGGTCTCAGGCCTCGCTGTAACTGCCAGGCCTGCCTACAGAATTGGATGCATTGCTCTCTTCTCCTTGACACATTTTCTTCACATGGTTTCTAAACTATTGCAGTCTCTTGGCTTTCCTCCTACCTGACTTTTCAATTTTCTTTATTGAAAGTTTTTCCCATTTCTGAACCTCTAATCACTAAATACCCCAGGACTTGCCCCTTTTTTCTCCTCTGTCTGCTGTATTTGAACTCACCCCTGGGTGATCTCATCCAGTCTCACGGCTTTGAATGCTGTCCATATGCTAATAATTGCTCTTTTATATCTGTAGGGCAGATTCTTCTCTTTGACTCATCTTGAGTATCCAGCTGCTTATAAAAGCATCTCCTCCTGGATAATTAATAGGCATCTCAAACTTGTCCAAGACAAGCTCCTGATCCTCTCACTAAAACCTGCTCCTCCTAATGTCTCCTCCATCTCCAGAAATGGCAGCTCCATTTTTTAAAGTTCCTCAGACCAAATGAAGTCATTCTTTGGATGTCATCCTTGACTCCTCTCTCACAATATCTCATCCAATCAATCAATTCCATTGCTCATAGCTTGAAAATATACCCAGAGTCAAACCACTTCTCACCACCTCCACTCCACTGTGCTGATCCAAGCTGCCATTGAAAGTTTTCTGCAATAACTTCCTAGCAGGTTTTTCTTCTTCCTCCCCTGTGCGAACTGAATGTCTTCCCATTTCACTTGTAGTAAAAGTCAAACTCCTTAGAATGATTGCGAGGCCCTGCATAATCTGCCGCACCCCTAGTTATCTCTGCTCATCTCCATCCACCTTCCCTCCTTCCTCTCTCCACTCCAGCTGCACTGGTCTCTGCTGTTTCTCACACAGGCAAGTCACACTCTCACCCCAGGGCCAGGGACAGTCTTGCCTGGACACCCTTACTCCCTTATCTCCTTCAGCTCTTGGCGCAAATGCCAGCTTTCAGAGGCGCTTCCTGACCACTCTGAAACTGCTTCTCCATGTCCACCCCAGCACTCACTGCCTCCCTTCCCTGTCTTTTCTCTACAGCACTTATTTTCACTAACATAATAATTATTTTGTTTATTTTATTTTTATTTTTTAAATCCTTACCCGAGGACACGTTTTTATTGATTTTAGGGAGAGAGAAATTGATGTGAGAAACATCACATCGATCTGACCCCAACCGAGGATCAGACTTACAACCTGGGTATGTGCCCTGACCAGGAATCAAACCTGTGACCTTTTGATAAATGGGATGATGCTCCAACCAACTGAGCCACACCAGCCAGGGCTCATTTTGTTTATTCATTTGTCTATCTATACACTAGAATGTAAACTTCATGAGGGCAAGGTTTTTGTCTGTTTTGTGCTCTGCAATTTCCCTAGTACCAGTAAGTACTTGTTGAATGAATTCTGATGAATTTCTCCCTCTCTCTGATCTCAATACATACTTTCTCAGAAGACTAGGGAATGCACCTGGTAATGGGGGGCTTGAAAGTGATGACGATGAGTCTAAGGGGATGGCACCATAATACTTCCATGAATATCTAATATTCTAATTTTTTTTTTTCTAGCTTAACACCAAAACATCCCCAGCAACCAACCAGGCACCTGGCCCAGAGGAAAAGGGTGAGTGGGGTTGGGTAGAGCAGTTTGCAGAGCAGGCAAATGACACTTGGACATGAAGACAGGTAGGGCTGTAAGTCTGGAGCTCTGAAGTCGGGTGTAAGGAACGTGGAGAAGTGAACAAAGCACTGGGTTAGGACTTTGTATCTACAGGCTTCCTCCTACTTTTACCTAAGAAGTACACCTACCAATGTTTACTCTTTGATTTTAGAAACTGGCTCTGGAGTGGTTGGAGACAGGCAACAAGATAGGAAGGGACTCATCAATAATCCCAGCCACTGTCTCAGTCAGAAATTGAGGGGCAGCTGGGGAATGTGCATGAGCTCTGGAGCTTGAATTATAGATTCAGGAGTAAGTGGTGAGAGAAGGCACCTATCCTCTTGGTGCAAGAGTAGCAAAGCTCCCATGTCACTGTAGCTGATTCTTAGCCTCGGTTTCCTGACTCTGACTTCTAGGAGAGTTGCCAGGCTTTCCAAATGCTGGCAAAAGCTGGGGGACCTCACAGAGCCGAGTGTGGACTCACAGAAAGTGGACTTGACCTCCACATTTGGGGCCTAGAGAAGGGCTGGGAGGTTCAGGGTTACTCATTCATCTCTTACCCACCTGCAGGGAAAGACGGCAGTGCCAAGAAGGCCGAGGAGGAGGTGGACATCGACCTAACGGCTCCGGAGACAGAGAAGGCCGCCCTGGCCATTCAGGGCAAGTTCCGGCGGTTCCAGAAGAGGAAAAAGGACCCCAGCTCCTGAAGAGCCAGCCTTCCTCTCCCGCTGGCCTCCCCCCGCTCCACAGCTGATTCCCACATACCTTTGTCTCTCTGTCCCTCTAGCCTCTCATTAAGGCAAGTTCAACCCTTACATGCTATTTTCTGTGACCCCCCTCAAACTATCACAGCAGTAGAGGCACAAGAAATACAGGGAAGATGAATAATTCATTTGGCAGCCACTTACCTGAGGATGGACCAGCTTCTCCTTGGGATAAGCCTCCTTGACCAGTACCTCTGTCCCATGAGGTTGAAGTAGAAGAGGCTCTGAGGCTGAGGGGGGACCTGGACAATGTGGAAGGGAGGGGAAAGGCTTCAGAGTAGGGTGCCTGAGGGTGGGGCATGTGCACTGTCTGCCTGTGGTTACTATAGTCACACTTCAGGTAACATTTCCCCCTCACATCCTCTGTACCACCACCTCCACTTCCCTGCTATGTGCTGAGCCCCAGTTGGGGACGAGCCCCTCCCCCCAGGGCACACCTACATCAAGCAGCTTCCACACCAGTGCATGCTGAGTAGATGAGTTGCAAGGACGGCAGTGGAACTGGAGTAGCAAGGAGTTTCCTTCACCATCTAGGCTGGGGGCACCCAAGGGGCAGAGGCAGGGAGATGGGAACTTGGGTAGATTTGGGGTGGAAAGACAAGTGAAGTGAGGGGATCTCTAAGGACACAGGTTACCACCAGTGAAAGTATGCCCTGTGAAAGATTCCTGGGTGACTTGAACCCCCACGTCGAGCCCTCCCCAGAGGCCATATAGACCAAGTGGCCCCTGTAGCTCCCTCCTGCCCCAGTGTGGAGTCAGGACAGAAATGGAACATCCACTCTGTGATTTTAGCATGTTTCATAATTATATAAAAAAATAACAAAAACCCTCAAGTGGGGTCATTTAACCTTTACAGAGGAGTGTGAATGTTGGCCAGAGCTGGCCTGGGGGTGGGAGGTTGCTGTGGTGACACCAGGAACAGGTGCCTGAGTATTTCAGCATTGAAGCCCACCCTTCCCTGCCTCCCTGACCTTGACCTCACCTTGCTTCACCACCCACACTGTCTTATCTGCGCCTCACCACTGCTGGGCACCTGTGGGCTCCCTCCCTTCCCTCCTCCTCCAGCTGAGAGCACCCCAGTCTTCTTACTCTCTGTCCCCACATGAGCTGTCCCTGATGGTTTGTGTGTCCCCCCCCCCCACTCACCTGTTTATCAAATGTACTGGAAGAAGATGACTGGGTCACACTGAAGACTTTAAACCATGAATTAAATAAAATGATGGCTTTTGAGTGAGTTTACATTGTTGAGAAATGACATGGAAACCAGAGTCAAATGCTGAGGTTGAAACCAGGTAGCAGCTGAGAGTAGGAAGCCTAGTGCCTACCTGCAGCACAGTTTGCCCTGCCTGCAGCACAGTTTCCTAGGGGGATGGAACACTAATTCACAGGACGGCCCTGTGTTACTTCCGGGAGCACCTTCTCCTTGGGAGAAAGGAAGGAGAGTTTGCATTTGGAATCTGTTCTCAGTGCAGTTTAGTGTTGATGGTGGCTTTCAGTCCTGGCTTCGAGGGCAAATAAAAAGATAATCTCATTACCACACCTGGTATGAGTCCAAATGTCCTGGTAAAACAGTAGTAGCCCTGTTCCCTAATTTCACAGTGGGAAAGCAGGGCTCCCCGTTCCCGGTGAGGTGGCCCTGGGGAGCTGACAGCAGTGGGTCCATCACCAGCCCCCTCCTGCAGGCTGCACTGCTGGTGCTGAAATGATTCTTTTCCCTTTCCCATTTCTTGTTCCAAAGTATACTTATCCTCATATGTATTTTACTTATCCTCATATGTATTTTAAGGAAAGGGCATGGTAGCAAACACAGGCTGTAGTTTTGGGATAGTTCTGATCCAGAGGTTTAGGCCTCTTCTGCAGAACCAGTGGTCACTCTCAGCAAAGGCTCTGAAACCAGCCTCTCTCTACCTGCTGCTCACTTCTACCGCCGAGCACTCAGCACTGGAACTGAGCCTCTTCTCTGCAGCCTGCAACTCCTCCTGAAGCCCTGGAACCCTATTTCTCTCCCATTCCTCCAGTTCCTACCACTGGGAACATGCTCCTGAATACTGATTACCAAGGAGTTGCTCCAGTGCTTTGCTTTGTGAGCTGTTAGTGAAACCTGCATGTCTTCGGGGGGTTGGTGAATGCTCTCCTAAATGCTTAGCAGAAGAGACAGGTGCTAAAAACAGTCATGGAAGAAAGCAAATGCAGTTATCACATCTGTATCACTGGTCACTGTTTTGTGATTTTTCAGCTGTGTCGGGTGGCAGAGCTGGGCCAGCCATCCTGACAAAGGTGGAGAGGTCTGGAGGTCTGAGAAGGGGTGCTTTGGAGCCTGTTCCCAAAGCTCAAACTGGGAGGTGATCTTGGGAGAAAGTCAGGCTGCTAAATGGACAAGGATCCTACTTGCTTGACAACCTGCTACAGGGACTGTGTTGCTGACCTCTCTCCCTGCCCCAGCAGTCAGCTCTTCCCACTCAGGTCTCTTCCATATCATATTCTTTTTTTTTTTTTTT